GTTCATATTATTTTCTCATAGTTCATCCATTGAAAACAGTCTTCGATGAAGTACAAAATACAGTACATGCAAGCCGTTTACACAAACAAATGGTCGCTTGGTAGTCAGTACAGGTAGGACTGGATGTTGGCAATGCTTTAATTTTCTGTTTGACAGAAGGCTATGAAACATCTGCTCTCAGTTGTTGCTTGCTAATATAGGCGCGGATGGGCGAGACAATGTTGCCATGTTCGTCCTCTCCCCCTATATGTCACCTTCGTGATCGTTTCACGAATTCGGCGAAGGGTTCTAATGGACTATAATTATTGTTGCATATTTCTATCAGCGATGGCTACCGTAGTGACTAAAAGCAGCAAAACAAGTTTCACGAATTCGGGGGTGTGCTTGAAATATAATATAATTATGGTTGTATAGTTCTTTCAGCAAGTGCCACCGTAGTGATTAAAAACAGCAAAAACAAAAAGAGGTTCATCCATTGAAAACAGTCTTCGATGAAGTACAAAATACAGTACACGCAAGCCGTTTGCACAAACAAATGGTCGCTTGGTAGTCAGTACAGGTAGGACTGGATGTTGGCAATGCTTTAATTTTCTGTTTGACAGAAGGTTATGAAACATCTGCTCTCAGTTGTTGCTTGCTAATATAGGCGCGGATGGGCGAGACAATGTTGCCATGTTCGTCCTCTCCCCCTATATGTCACCTTCGTGATCGTTTCACGAATTCGGCGAAGGGTTCTAATGGACTATAATTATTGTTGCATATTTCTATCAGCGATGGTTACCGTAGTGACAAAAAGCAGCAAAGTGACTAAAAGCAGCAAAGTGACTAAAAGCAGCAAAGTGACTAAAAGCAGCAAAACAAGTTTCACGAATTCGGGGATGTGCTTGAAATATAATATAATTATGGTTGTATATTTCTTTCAGCAAGGGCCACTGTAGTGATTATAAACAGCAAAAACAAAAAGAGTAATGTAATCACGAGCCATTCATGTGTAGAGAGAGATCACTTTAGCCATAGTCACAGGTTACCGTTGGTTATTTCCTTCCAGGTGTTCGAAATATAATATAATCATGGTTGTATATTTCTCTCAGCGAGGGCTACCGTAGTGATTGAAAACAGTAAAAATGAAAAAGTAGTGTCATCACGAGCCACTCGTGTGTAGAGAGCGATCACTTTAGCCATAGTCACAGGTTTACCGTTGGTTATTTTCTTCCAGATTTTGGTCGGCATGGTGTGTACATAGTGAGTAAGAATACAACCTATGAATCATCACATGCGCATAATGTAGATTATAAAAGCCGCTATATGACTTCATCCCCAATAGCTTGTAATTATATATCACTCGGTGTAAACACATGATAACCTACCCTGGCGATCAGTAAGTTGATCTATAGGATGTTTGGTGAAGTAACTGATCCTGATAACTAATCGTGACAGGCGCATCATGTAAATTGTAAATGCCGCTATATGACTTCATCTCCAATAATTTGAAACTGTAAATCACTTGATATAGACACATGATAGCCTATCCTGGCAATCAATATAACAAGTTGGTCTACAGCATGTTTGGTGAAGCGTCTGATCCGGATAAGTGTACCTCGTGGTTGAGTCTTCGTATAATTTTCTATGTAGTTATCGAATAGTGCTTTCGACATAGAATGTAAATTTGCTCAGTGGAGTGGGGACCAGCATATTGTATCAGATAAGTCCCCACGTGCCACGTGAGATTTCATTTTGTTTATGTGTCTCCTGGTTTTACTTGGAATTACTATTGTCAGTGATATTGTAAACCGGGGAATAAAAGACAAAGTGAACTTTAATTGTGAAAACAGAATTGTGTGTATTGCCCGCGGCTGATCGTGCACTTCTATAGTTGGGGTTCTCTTATAAACAATGGACAAGTCTCTAAAGGTACATTGACAATGTGGAAAAGTCACTAAACGTACATTCAGTCAATTGTTCTGACAAAAACGTACTGGAATTTTGATCAAATATGTTTAGTGACAATTCCACTTTTTAGGATTCCTCGTGTACATTTAAGGTAATTCCTTATCAACAATCGTAAAGTGATGTCCATGAATGTTCAATTGCCCAACCAACCCAGTCTTTGAGACCTGAATACTAAACCATAGAAGTTTCTACGAGTCTATCAGCATTGTCCAATGTTGTGAGATTCTCAAGGTCAGGCAGGAGACAGCCCTAAGTTTTAGTTCTGCCCTGAATAGATGAATGATTTAAAGGACTAGAAATTAGTTGAGCTATAAGTGATAACCCGGGGAATTCAATGTGTGTGTGTGTGTGTCGGTCTCTGCTGGCAACTGCTCAGATTGATCTTGCCATATGTATTATGGTATGCACCATAGTTAATATAGATAGCAAGAGAGCAAGTTACTTCTCTTATCTGACAAAGTCAAACATTATTGTAGTTATGTGTGGTGATTGCTGCATGGATGGACTTCATGGAAACTAATGCAAGCGATGTAACACATTGAACGTGCATCTTGTAATGATTGAATATGGAATTTGCATTGTATCTGCAACTATATTTGTTAACAAGTAGGTTTGCTGTATTAATATACCTTAATCTCACAATATCATATGGGGGGGGGTTTGCGTGCTTCATATGCAGTGTGTATTTTTACTCGCTTGCTTCAAATCGAGCCTGTCAAGTCAAATAAGGACTGTAAAGGCCAAGCTACAAATCTTATATTCTACTAAATGCATCTGCCTCTCATAGTATAACGCTTAGTAAGGTTTTTTGGAGGTAAACACGTACGCGCGTGCGTTTAGATGATGTTGGCTGACATTTGTTGATAGCTAAATAATGTGCAAAGTTACACACACACACGCCTACAGTCAGCTATCAGCTATCGAGGCATAGTGCATCATAGAGTAATGTTACAGTGATTCAACTTATAGTTTTTGAATCATCGCACACCAATTGAATGGTTTCCATAGTTTATGATATGTATACCCGAGCTACAAGCTATTCCACCAAGGAATTAGATTCCGAGACATCGATCGCGGTTCTGTGATTGACCGCAACTTACTTTAAACGAGTTCTTAAAATTTTTTTTTTAATGAATTATATTGTCGGAGTTGCGTTCTTACCGTAATAAATCAAACCGCAATCCTGAGAGTCCACAAATGTAGTTATCGACGGTTGCTGGTATCAAAATGATTTCGAATATGAATTCAGATATGATTTTCATTTTGCTTGGAATGTTGATTTCGCTCATATAAACATAAAAGCTGTGATGTTAAACTTCGTTAATGGGTTTATTCTTAAGTCGAGACGACGGAAGTGGTCCGGGTACTACATATGATACACATACACACCCCTTATGTTTCGAAATTTTATACCGATACAACTAACTCAGCCCGAAAGATTCGATAAAGTAGACAGCAATTATAAGGTGAGTCATCTTGACGATTTCAATCTACATAGTTTGTCAATGTTTTATAATTTGTTGTCTGTAACTCAAGGGAGATTTCGTATTATCACAGCAGTTGGAAGGTACTTTTTGCAGAATGCGATCGATGTGATACAACATTCATTGTTAGACTGTTTTCACCAGCCCCTACTGTCAGGCTTCATAGGTGAGCGATCACACGTTGAACGCATCGTTTTAGATTTTTTTTTCCGCTGCCTGCAACTTCCTATTTTGGTTTATAGCCAGTATGGGCAATATCAATTTCTTTCGAATAAGATTCATGCTGTCATTGTTCACATTACACATTTTTATTCAGCTTAATATATAGTACACTATCAAACTTGGGGCTTATTATGTTCAATTGATGTTACAGTAGCAAACAAAGTACTATTATTATAAAACGTACCTGAAGCATACTCTTACAACACATCTATGTCTGCTCTGCGAGTAGGGCATAGATGTAATAATACTACATAGCGTACATGAAACATACTCCTACAACCAAGTTATGGGTGCGTACGCACTATCTTAAAATGCATGCTTTGTGAGTATATCCCAGGCTACACGTATAAAATAAATTTTGCAAGTATATTCCAGGCCTTGAGTATAAAATATATTTATTCGCAATTCCTCCACACGCAATCAGCCTAGAGAGCTCAGAAAAAATGGGTTATACCTGTTCTATCCCGACTGGTTTGAACAGAGGTCATATTATTAGGTTCGATTACATCGAATCGCTTAGTTATGCTTCTGTATTCTCAGTATATGAAAGAAGAACTCCCATACTTGATTACGAATGAAGTGCTAGAACGAGAAGAGGCAATATTGTAGTGAACTTGGCTAATAAGATAAGCAGGCGAGGGTTACAGTTGGCAAAATGTTCATAAGACATTTTGCGCATCGATTCCTCTAGATTTATTTTGAACTAGATGAATGTTCTGACTTACAGGCTGAATGACTTTTTTTCGTCATTGAGAACCTTTGTACTTACAAAGTGAAATTTCTGCCATATAGAATCTAGTAAATCTACTTGGCTGATTTTGTCGTGCTGTCGGTCCTTCAGTGCACTAATTATCTAATTGATAGTCAGTGTGTCTCAGAAAAACACGAGCAAACCCTCAGCCTTACCAAGTTTAAAACCGTGGAAAATGAGCTTAGATTATTTGATTCTTGATAACGGCAAGCTGGTGAGATTGATGACTGGACAGCATGTTATACTGCAATCTAATTGCTTGTGGCAGACCAAATTGCTATCTAAACATTGAAGTGGACTTCCACATGACCTTTTGCAAACCTGCCGGTGTTGTGCAAGAGGCACCTGTGACCTTTTTTTGGTTTGCAAGGAAGCTCTGAATCAGCAGTGCTTAATAGCTTATGAAACGTAATAGGTAAATAAACTTTAGAAACCAAATACGGCAAATCACAACCTGCTGATCAATCAACTAAAACATCGTTCGCGCATACAATACACACCATGCCGAATGGTAAATCATCTAGGGGTGTTCAATGCCAGAACGCTAACTCAGAATTAAAAACATTACTCGTTGCAGAACAGATAATGCAATAGCTAAAATCAAGGTTTATTTTAATATCAAGCCACTAAATGTGCAGCCCAAAAGTACAATAACCGCATTCCGAAGCGCAGTATTGTAAAATTATGTGTACAATAGCATCTACCTATGGCCTCCACGAAATAGCGATTCTAAATAACAGTTGCTTAGCTCCTTTATTGGATACTGTTCTATCATCTGTGCAGGAATCAAATGTCAGATAATTCATTCCAACATAGGTTTACCTCGTGCTTTCATTTGTTAGCATAGTGCCCTGTTTGTCCTGGTGTATATGTCTTGATTTCTCCATGATGTTCAGCCAGACAGACGATTGCGACACAAAAGAATCCGGTCTATGGTCGCCAGGATGATCGTTGGCCTAGTATATTTTTGACGCGGTGTTCCAGTGCGTAGACTTCGGTGACACGAATTCAAGTTCCATACTGACTTCGTCGTGCAAGCTAAGCTTGTATTTTTATAATCGAATGCTTACTTATACTAATCCAGCCTAGGACGCTTAGGATCAGGACCGTCATCATCATCTGCCCTGGCATCATCATCATCATCATCGTTAACATCATCATCATCATCGTTAACATCATCATCATCATCGTTAACATCATCATCATCGTTAACATCATCATCATCGTTAACATCATCGTCGTTAACATCATCATCATCATCGTCACCCCTGAAATATATAGGAAAAGGCTGAGAAACAGAATCCAGAGCAGTACCAATTTCAAAAAAACTATTACAGTCAAGAACTGCAAGCTCTCCTCACCATCAGGCGTGATATACTGTCGCTAATCGATCAGTGTACCAGACGAGTGGAATACTGCAAAAGATCCAACTTTCAATTTAGTTTCCATATAGCACGGGTCTTATTCATTTTGAATCGGGAATGCATGGCAGCACATCTAAGAAAAGTAGCCGACATCCTGAACATCTCGTCACACATACTCGTTTTCGTCGTCATTGTCATCCTCACCATCGTCGTCGTCATTATCATCGCCACTGCCTTCGGGAACTGTTGTCAAAATGACAACGAACACCGAGTCAGCCAATAAGGATACACAAAAAGATCATTGGAGGGTTCAGAAGTTGGTATCGAGCAGTGAGGATATACAAGCAGAAGGAGGTAACGCTGGAAGCAGAAGCGTCTTCACCAAAATCCGCGTTGGATGAGTCTAAAACCCCGAACTATATATTGCAAACGGTACATTGAAGTCGTGCTAGACGAGTTCACTTGTTTGGTACTTTAGTGTTGAAGCTGATACGCACACTAAAGTACACTTTAAACCTACAAGATCATACGTAACGACACTCAATTGACATACCTTCTTCAGTACTGGGTTTGGGTGCTCCTTCGTCCTCGTCTCCATCATCGTCATCATCTTCATCCTCGTCATCTTCATCATCTTCATCGTTGTCGTCCGGCCTTTCACCAGTTGCTTGCCTTTGATCATCACTGTAATTCAGAAATAAGGAGGAAGCAAAGTACTGAACATGACAGTATAATACCAATAGCCATAAAATTATGCATAGACATCCTAACTGGTTAGTGGAGGCTTACTTGTAACACTGGTGGGATCTCACGGCTCCTCAATTGAGATTCCAAATGTTATGTTTCACACTATGCACCGTGCCATGTTCCGCAAACGCGTATAAAAACAATTAGGTTTGCTGCACGAACTACTCAATACTTTTGTGTAGGTTGTATTCATACTTCTGCAAGTATATACATTGGCAAGGTGGAATCTAAATGTGTAGATACATGTCGGTAGCATCGAGCTCCATGAATTGATATGTAGGAAATTATAGACACACTCGCATCTGCAGAGTTCACGAGGAACAGTACACATGCGTGGGAAGGAGACCAGAATCTCCGGAAACAATGACCATAACCCGCCCCCCCCAAAAAACAAACAAACTGAAGCATACCCCTCATTGTCTTCATCATCGTTCTCATCGTATTGGGCGTTCTCGTCGTCGTCGTCGTCGTTATCACCTTCGATATCATCTTCATCGTCATCACCGCCCTCTTCTTCATCGTTCTCGTCCCCTTCATCGTCATCGTCGCTATCATTTTCACACTCATTATCTTGCCTGAGATGGACAAATCATTGAATAGCGTATATATATTCTACCATTAATCTACGAAGAAAAAGCCACAAATAAAGCGGATACAGCAAAAGAGAGCTACAATGTAGCTTTCGCATATGTAATTCGCACGATACACACATATAGAACAACCACCCGATACGAGGGATGTATGGTAAAAACGCAAACCTTCAGTAAATAGAGTACTACTAGTATACGTTATCAATACGCTTGCCTGATCTAGACTCATATCCCCGCACTCGCTATATTACCAACACGTCAAACTTACGCGTCATAGCCGTCTAATGATTCCAGATTCGGTAAGTAGCCGAAAACAGTAATTTTGTAGTCATCCTCATTCGCAAGGGCGTTCCCTTCTAAGTCCAGACTTTTTAAGCTCGGGTGTTCCTTCTGCATAACAAGAACAGCAAGGAAGATAAACAACGTGCCTGTTAGATCTGATTTTGCCCAACGATCATGAGGTCCTGAGCAGAGGCACCAGCCACGCTAGTAATAAATAATATGATATTCAAATACCTTTATGCATGCATATAAGTGATTTCGGCATTTTGTTACAATGCTTAATTCTAAGATGTCTATCTTTCGATACAATGTAATCACAAATACGCATGGTATCGACTCGTTTGTAGTATTGAAATCAGCAACATAGATGCAAACTACAATATATGCCTTCGGAGATACCACAGGAATCAGTACTCCACTGCAAACACATTGCTCAACGCACCCAGCATCAAACTTTCTTACCAATGCTAATAGTGACTCGATCGACTTTATCCTGTTCCCACTGAGTTGTAAGCGCGCAAGTTTCGGGCAATTTGTTACCAACACATCCAAGCCTCCAGATATCCGGTTGTCGCTGAGTATGAGCTGTGTTTATATCATGCAATTGTATTGGGTACGGTTTGTGTGAATAGGGATCATTGATAGCAAACACACAGCGTAGTCGTTACTGGGAATTCCCATCCCACGCTAAAGCAAACCTCACAAATGTGTCTACTTCAACCTCTTGATCGATATATATATACATATACATCAATTCCAGTAATATAGATGCACATGCCCTTCTACACACAACCGCACACACACACACACACATGCTGTCACACACAGTATTGCATATATGGGTATATATCTGCATATGCTTTGTGCACACCGATCAACATACAAGTGAAGCTTGATGGATGAAGTAGCTTATTCGAACACGTTTAAGCTCATGAACTGTACATCTGCTGATGGCAACGGAGGGGTATAGATACAAGCATAATCCCTCGATCTTTAGAATATTACCAAATTTGTTAAAACCATGAAACTCACAAAAGTACACACCTTCGTAAGTTCTGGTAAATGAGGGAGCGCATCAAGACTTGTCAGGTAGCAACTATTTAAGGACAGTGATTTAAGTGACGAGAATTTATCCGTCAAGCCCGAGACCGCGTTACTTCGGACGCCGTCCAAATTTAGCTCTGTGATCTGAATATCAAAGTAAAACGGTACACTTACAGTTAATCCAGAGAAAGAAACAACAAACCTATGTATAGGCACCGACAGCCGAAGCTCCAGCATAAGCTTGTTAAAACATACGGCACTGAAACAACGTTGAAACTGCGGCATGTGCAGAAGCCTTAGCAAGGGTGCTCACCTAAGATTTGATACTCAAAAAACTTGATTTAACAGACCTAAAAATGATATTCAACAGTTGTACTGACTGGATGCATTTGACTTGATACCTGTCCACTTCGTGGGGAAGCTCACAAATAACAACCTTCAAAGTAAGGATACTCATAGGGAAGCGATCAAAGGATAACTCTCCAAGTAGAGAAGCTCACGCAACAAACTTGATACTGGACCATCTCATGGAGAAACGAATATAGGAGAGTATACTAAAGACAGCAAATGAATAGTTCAATTAACGCAAGTGCCAAGCTAGGCCCAACAAGTGTTCGTTGCCAGGCTTATACTCTCTACCCCTCTGATTTGATAACTCACGAATTGGTGCCAGATTACAATATACCGGGTGGTATTACAACGAATGCGCACAACTGGAGTATTGGAATTGTAATACGGTATGATCCACTGCAACAACTATACATTCAGGCGGTAAATTCATGATAGACTTAACACACGTACACGTTTAGTTAGAACGAAGAGCAATTATAATCGCTCATGATAACTGGGACTTGATCGTTGGATAGTACACACTGAACAAACCTCAGACGGTGCCTTCCCGCGAAGTTCCTGCTTGATCCGGTCCTCCATTTTTGACCGATATACCTTTGTTATTGTCTGCGTTTGTGTTTTGTATAGACCTGACAATTACCAGAAAGATAATCTATACAACCTTCAAAGAGATATAATAGCGCTCTAGCGGTTAGCGAAAGCTCTGTCTACGACACTGCAGAATAGCTACGACTGTGAGGATATAGCTGTATATATATAATTTTGTATTTATTATAGGGGTGGTGAAATGGCGTATTTAGTAGTCGAGTGCTTTATAAAAAAGCAGCAACTGATTACTCAGGAATTGTATAGTGATATGGCGGCTACTGGTAGGCATTAGGCATTAGGCACTTTGAGTCGGCCAGTTGTACACTTTAGCGAGAGTAGAATTAATTTCATGGGAAGTGCTCAGCTTTTCGAATTAGTTTTTTACATACATACATTTTGTATTTTGTTTCAATTTAGAAGGCTATGTGTACTTACATTTTTAATTTTTACATACCCAACAACCCTCGCCAAAAATAGAATTGGGTAGGGGTTTTCCAGTCCGAATTTGCATAGCCTCCTAAAAAAAGAACAGAATTTGTGTTTGTTTTTAGGAGGCTATAGAATTTGTTGGGTTCCTGGCTCTGATTTTACATATGATGATCAGCACTGGAGAAAAGTCGTCCGTGGCCATCATCATCTCTGTTGAGATCAATATAACTTTGAGTCGGTATATGGCGACCAGCCGATCACGCACAGTTAATTTATGGTTATGTATGGAAAAAATGTTATGATTTGAAATCCAGCGGCGTTGTGTCTCGACAGAAGATCCTCTGCTTAGATTGATGGACGTACTCTACAAAACGATTAGCGCAACGGTTTACTTTGAAATGAGATTCTTCGGCTATCTAGCGGCAGCGTAGTACGTTACAAATATTCTTACATCTTTCCTGACATCGAGTTAAAACTTCTACGCGGGTGCAAACCATGTAAAACACTGAATAGACCTCGTCTTTTGATGCACCAGGAAAAACAATAATCCTACTCTATCTTGTAAATTCCA